TGGAAAGCAGTACAGCATTGTTTTGGCTGGGTGCAGTGGTTATTTATTTAAGCTCTCTCTTGCTGCTGCTCCCCTTTGACATTTTTCTTGTTCAGTATATAGAGAAAAATAGCATGAGACAGCCACTCTGCTGACTCACAATTAAGATGTTTAATTTAAAATTGTTGCATTCTTTTATTTTTTGAAAATCTTACTTATTTTTCCTGAGAGAGAGAAGAGACAAGCATCCTGGCAGGTCTCATGTCACAATTCACCCCCAGTCTCAGCCAGCCAGGATTACAGGCATGCGTACATATATATGGCACATACAGACGGTCCTCAGGACAGGAATCTAGGACCTTTCCACGTGACTTTAGCATTGCAGAGCCCTGTGTCACTGCTGCACAACTGTAACTGGCCTGTATTATTTATTTCTTCTTTTCTTTTTGGGAGTTGTACTTTTTGTAAGGTTTCCTCAGAGTTAGATATGATCAATTTTATTTGCCCCACTTTGTCATGTCTGTCATCTTAAAATTAATGTCTTAATCCATTTTCTGCTGATGTAACAGAATATCACAGACTGAGTAATTTACAAACAGAAGACGTTTATATGGCTCACAATCCTGGACTCTGAGAAATCCAAGAGTATGGGCATTGACATGTGGTAAGGGCCTTCATGCTACATTATCCCATGGCACAAGGTGGAAAACAAGTAAGCTTCAAAAATGAGTGAAAAAGAGGGCTGAACTCCTGCAATAATTAACCCATTCCTACAGTAAGAGCATTAATCCATCCATGAGGGCTCCACTCTCATGACCCGATTACTTAAAGATCCCACCTCTTAATACCATTACAATGAATTTAAGTTTCAACATGACTTCTGCAGTAGACATTTAAACCAAAGCAAGTAATAGTCACAGAGATACCTTGCCATCCAGTTCAACAACTCTTTTCTGAGTATCTCTTGTGAGGGGTAACACCAAAGTAGAAAGTAGAGGAAGATGAGATGTTTGGTCTGATTGGAAAACAGAATGTATGAGCAATGTTTTAGGAGCTGAAGATTGGCGATTTAAGATCTCAATGTTGAATTAACTGGGTACTGTGAGAGTTTTGAACCCTCAGTGTTTTCAGGTTTTTAGATGGTACTGGAGAGTTACTTTTAGGAGTTTCTAGGTTTTCATATGGTACAGAGGGACATATTGGCTTGCTTATACTGTTCTGTTTGACTCAGTTACCTTCTACTTATGTTCACTTAAAGAGGTGATCAATTTCTCAAATGATCAAATAACATATTACCAAAGTATACTAAATAACTCAGAAGATTCAACACTATGAAATCCTAGTTTTAGGTACCACTTTACTGGAAAATCATAGCACAGAGTAAATGGTGTCAGATAAGGAAAATAAAACTCTTCATTATTGGCCAGGTGGACCCAGGGAATCTGTATTTCTCACCTTGATTCTAAATGCATAAGACAAAATGACATTTAGTAACATTATTTAAAGACAAAGAGGAGAATATATTTGCCATGCTCCTCAGGGATGAGTCAATTGTTATTTAGCCTGCTGTTTAATTCAGTGCCTTGTTATATCTAGATCCTTTTTGACTTGAAAAAAATAGCCCTGAGAACAATGTACATGTCATTTTAAATATTACTTTTTTTCTAGGAATCTAATTAGATAAGAAATTTTCAAACCAATCAACCAATCAGGCCAGTATCTGTATCTGACTGCTAGCATTATTCACTGTGTGAGGTGAACTGTTTCTCTCAGAGCAGCTCAAATGTCAGCTTTTCGGGAGAGAAGAGAAATGACCTCTTTTGCTGTCACACTCACTAATGCACTCCCCCTCCCTCCCTCTGTCTTTCTTTCTGAGTATGCGCATACATGGCCATGCACACACAGATGTGTGTATACACACACACACACACAGAGTACTTTAAAACAAATAGTTAAAGCCAGTGGACTGGTGAGTTGGCCTCAGTGTGAACTGAATTACCAGCCCTAGTTCTAAATTATGAATGGCCAGCATGATCATCTTTGCTGTCCCATTTGATACAGTGAAGTAGCTACCGTGGTGCTAAGCTGTCAAACACAATGATAATCATTCTCAGATAAGCAATATAGGCTTGAAAGTGGGAAGGAACCAGTGTGACAAACTAAAAAATTTGTTTGGCTATAGGGAAAATTTAGTACTTGTAACCTTTTAAGGACCCTTCTAGTCCTAATTTTCTGTAGTGTAAACCTGAACTTACAAGTCAAGTGACCAGCATTTGGAATTCCACAAGGAGATTCTAAACTAAATTCTAGCTATCCTCCCTCCATCCCCAATTTCTGATTTGATAAAAATCCTTAAGAATGCAAACAGAGAAGCTGACTACTGGACCAGATCACTGTGGGTACCGGCTTTATTTAGATAAGGTCATGTGAATGCCAGACAAAACCTGGATCAGTGCAGAGTGTTGAAATGGTGATAGTTGGCCTCAATCAGGTCACAGCTTAAGGGAGAGGACTGATGTCCACTTCTGGTCTTCAGAATCTAACGGAAATTCAGGCAGAGAAGGCCAGCACCATGGACAGCTCTCCGAAACTGTGGTGCAAAGAAACCTGGAGTTGGCATAGAAAAATTGTGTCCAAGTTCTAGGTTCACCTCTTCCTAGCTAAAAGTATTGACCGTGGACCGGTAATTTATGTACCCCTCAGTTTTTACATCTGCACTGTAGTACATCTGTTTTATGTAGTTCCCTGGGTACATACGTTAAATGATAAATTGCAATTGAAAATATGTGTCTGTGATACAAATTAAAGATGTTAATGTTGCTTTAATCAAACTTTCACTTTGGATCATTGATCTTTGTCCACCTAAGACTGTACTGATAGTGAATACTCTCATACTTCTTAAAGTATGAAACAACAGTTAAATAAACTGACAGGAGAAACCAGGATACTATAAGCAGATACACACTTTTTTGGGGGAGAGAAAGGAACTAGGATTTGTTGCATACTTTGTAGGTTCAGACACAGGATGATCATGGGCATGTCCAGCCTGCCCAGGTAGACCCAGGATATAAGCCTTGAGCCCTTCCACATGGCCCTCAGCATTTTGCAGCAGCACCCCTACTGCCTGGGTTCCCCATATCATTTTTATGACAGCTCTGTGTACTTAGCAAAGAGTAGAGAGATAAGCCCATGTAGTGTTCTTCCCCACATCATATTCCTTCTGTTACTACTAGTGGAGCGAAATGTATGGCAGCTGGTACGCAGGGACAGAGTGGTGATAGAATTCCAACTCTTGACTTTCCCAAGAATGGACTCTTCTGAAGATTTTCCTGATAGTGTAAAGCAGGAAGGAAGGTGAGAAAGAGAGAGAGGGTGAGGAACACTCCTCCCCTAGGGGTTGTCAGAACTTCCATGTCTGGGGAATGGAACCAGATATCCAGGGCCCCCTTTAGAGTGAGGTAAACTGAGCCCACTCAGGTGACCAGGCTGTGACTGGGATTGCTGGTTGGCCATGGTGGGAATCCTCTCGAGAGACCCTCAACCCAGCAGTTACTGAGGGAAATTAAAAACCATATTTGGATATCTTTGTATGGCAAGTTTATGTAATACAGTGATGTGTTAGGGAAAAGCATCTAACTACTGTGCAATTAGGGATTTTTTTTTAAAGGTTTTTGTCATAGGGTGCATGAGGTTGCGGAAAAAGAGACAGAGGATTTCTCACCACCACCACCACCCCCCCCCCCGGCGGGGGCGATGGCCACGCTGCAGTCCCTTCTCTGTCATTCTCTTCTTGGGATTTTGGGCATGCACATATATGCCCACAGCATGATTTTCAAACTGCGGGGTCCATCGCTCAAAATGCAGTCAACCATGTGGGAATCTAGCACCTTAGGCACTATACCACCTTCTGGCTCCACAATTAGGGATTTTAAGAGGATTGAAAGTCTTGTATCATTAGCATTTAGTAATTCTGTCTTTGATTAAACCAGTGTTTTTTTACATAATCCCTGCATACTTTAAAAAAATTAATGAGCTTTTTGCTGTAGGGTGCATGTGCTCACTGGAGACACAGAGAGACAGAAAGCAAGAAATCACTCCCCAGAGGCAGCCATGCTGCAATTCCTTCTCCCTATTCTCCTGTTAGGATTCTGGGCATGCATGAATATGTGCTCTGTGTGAGTTTCAAGCCTCTGGGTCTGAGTCTCAAACCATGGTCTGCCATGTGGGAGTCCAGTGCCTTAATCACTAAGCTACCTGCTGGCCCTCTCTTCATACTTTTTATTAGACTTAATTTGACTCATTATTTCAGGATACAGTATGGTATCTAATTTTTTATGAACATGAATTTTATGAACATGCTTTTATGAACATGTGGGAGATGATAGTTTACATATAGTAATTAATAAATATAAAATAACTGGTAATGGTTAATGATTGACTGGCAGAGAAATATCCTCAGAATCTTCCTATATAGTTTGTCTTATGTACATAGGAATGCAGATAGCTACACGGAGACTTAGAAGATTATTGAAATCCTTTTATCTGTAGATCAGCTGGGATGATTCTTTTTTCTCTTAATAGTTTGATAGATGCTTGTGATTATCTGTTCAATAGCCCATTAAAGAATAGGTTGAAGAAGTAGCAATTTTCTACCTAGGTAGCATCTTAGGTCCATTATCAGAGGGAAATGATTATTGTATGACGCTCCTGTCCTTTGGAACTTTCAAAAGGAAAATGTTAGTTATTAGGTAGCTATATAATGATTTACTTAATAGAAAGAACACAAGTTGAAATCAGAAGATACAAGTGCTAATTCTTACTTCAACGCTCACCAGCTGCCTGGTCTTGGTTGAAACCTTTAGAGGCACAGTTTTCTCCTGTGAAAAGGGACTCTTCACCTATGTCAGAGAATGGTTGTAAGATTACATTAAATGATGTTTTTGAAAGCACTTAAAACCTTTAACATATCTTTTTAAAAGAAAATGCTTATAATAATTCTCCGTTGTGGTTGTTTTCTGCAGAAAGTGAGTGAGAAGGTTGGAGGAGCTGAAGGAACCAAGCTAGACGATGACTTCAAGGAGATGGAAAGGGTGAGTCTTCAACATGCTGAATCTCTTTGACTTAAAATTGTCCACCATTGTGAGAGAAGAAGGGAGGAAGGCAGGGGGAAACTGTTCTCCTCTGGTATCTGTGAAGTATTTTAAAAAGTACTCTGCTTTCATTTGTATTTTAAAATGGAAAATAGGAAGTATCCCGTCTTCCCTTTGTATTGTCCTGAGAACAAAAATATCATATAATAAGTATTTGTCAAACTGATAATGACTTTGATTCCTTTTATGAAGAAGTACTCTGAAATTTCAGATTGATGTTTATTCATAGGTATTTCTTATTAAAAGATATAGTTACATACCAAGAAAACAACCAATAAATAATAAAACAGAACAACATAAAAACACCTCAGTGAAAGTGAAAAGACACAATACACTTTTCCTGGTAGATTTTTATCATTACTTTTCCAAGTAAGGACAACATGGTAGGAAGAAAAGAGATGAAAGTGATTGATGTCCCAGTTCTCAGGGGAGTTTGAGTCACTCCCTGGGTGTAGGAGACTTACTGGGATAGTGTCAGTAGAGGCAGCTGAGAAGAGTGGGGAGAACGTGGTCTTGGAGCCTGTCTCACCTTGAACCAAGTGCCACTTCCAACACTTGTTGCAAAGTCCAGTTTTTGCTCAGAGCCTTTATTTTTTAATAAATACTAATACTCAGGAGATTTTTATTAAGTATTAAAAATAATATAAATCACTAGTGTTCTGCCTAAAAGTGGCAGGTCCTCAACAAATGAGGGTGAAAGTAGTGAGCAAAGTATATAATTTTATTTATTTTCAGACATAGTTGTATTTCTCTTTTATTTATTTATTTTTCACTTTGTGGCTATTTATAGAAAATGATGTTTAGGCTTATGTTGAAGAGTATTAATTGTGCAAAGAGATGTTTTTCGTGTTAAATTGTTGGTGAGTAATGGACCTGAGAGTACGAATCCTGTACTTGAGCAGTATGTAATGATACAAGATGATGATATTTCATAGTCACATTTAAACATTAATACTTTTGAATATTATTGTAACAGAGCATTTCTTTCTTTCTATTCTGATTTTGACTTTACCAGAAATGATTTAAAAACAATTTTTTTTAAGTTCACTTGGATTCCCTTGGATTGTTTTGCCTTTTTTTTTTCTTTTTTGTTGTGTTTGCATGAAGATTCAAATAAAGAAAATTTCAAGATGCCTTTTTGCCTTGTCTTTCTCAGTTTTTCTTCTGATGAGTTTATTAATGAATTCAGCTGATAATTTGCTTTTTGGCTCCTACAGGGAAGACACATTTCAAGCAGATGATGACCACTGTGGCAAAGTTAGCGAAACATGGTGGTAGAGAAATCTAGAACAGATGAAACTCACCCAAACAGGGTGGTCACAGAAGACCTTCATGATGGTTAAGTGAAGACATGGAAGATAATAAGAGCAAAAGCCTAGTGTGTTTCCAGTAAAGGACATGGCATGTAAGCAGGCAAGAGAGAGTACTGGAGTTCCTGAAAAAAAGAGGAGTAGCTAAGAGGCAGGATTATTGTGAAATGAGACTGCATAGGGTTGACCTAGTTGGCTTACTTTGTTAAAATTTGGTGAGCCATTGCAATGGTGTTGAGAGGATAGAGACTTAATCTGATGTAGTTTTGAAAAGTGGGGCCTTTGGCAGCGTATGGGATTGGATGAAGTTATCAAAGTGGGATCCCCATGATTGACTGCTGGTAACTTTATAGGAAGAGCAGACACATGGATACATATGCTTTGCTCCCGATCTGTGCAAGCTCTTGCTCTGTGGTGCCCTTATACTACCTTGGGACTCTGAATAGAGTTCCCACCAATAAGAAGATCTTACTGTTAGGCCAGAGGCCTGGGCAGCTTGGATGTGGGGGTTGGACGTTATGACCTAGTTGGCTGATACAACTCAGAACTATCCTGTCATCAGACCTGTGCTGCACTCGGATCTAACCTGGATGTAGCACATGGGGCTGGACTCTGCACACAAGACTCTACTCTGCACACATCACCAGACGTTACGAGGCACACTAGTCTGCTCTCCCCCAAACCTTTACCATGCATGGATTGTTTCTACCTCTTAGACACTCCCCCTCCCTATACCCTTATAAAAATCGCTAGACCCTGCCCCAGTGCATGACTTCTCTGGCCCATCCCCCCCATCCTCTTTCTCTCTGTCAGACCAGTGAACCTCACCTGGGAGCGCTCCCAATAAAGGCTCTGACGTTTCTGTTGTCTTGAGTGCTTGACCCATTCCTTACACTTACCAGATACAGTCTCTTGACTTTGGACCTCCAAACCATAAACTAAATAAACTTTTATTCTTTATAAATCATGCAGTGTTGTATTCAGTTGTTAGTGATAGAAAAGCAGACTAACACATGATTATTTCAGGTAAGTTCTTGAGACACTCCTTGCTGCCGGTTGCCCGCTCATGGAGAGATACTGTTCTAGAGTTCTGAATTCCAGATGGCCATCTGGGAAGGCAGCCTCTTACACCCCGTACTTGGCAGCTATGCTCCCACTGGACTGAAATCTGCATTGGTCCCTGTGTCTCATCTCTACCAGGGTCTAAATACCACCTGATCTTCAACCAAAGCTGGTAGCCACTGGTATTCAGGGTACTGGAAATAGTATCGCACCAAGTCTTTTTCTTTTCTTTTTTAAGTGTTTGCCATAGGGTGTATGCACTTACTAGAGAGAGACAGAGAAAGAAAGAGAGAAAGGGAAAGTGAGAAATCACCTCCCAGAGTGCATGGTCATACCACAGTCCCTTCTCTATTCTCTTACCAGGATTTTGGGCATGCACATATGTGTGCCCAGTGTGTTATTCATCTCACTTGTCTGTATCTCATACCATGTTTGGCCATGTGGGATTCCAGTGCCTTAACCACCACACCACCTGCTGGTCCCTAATCTTTTCTGTAGCAAGTCTCCAGGTACAGGACATACATTGCAGAATGACTTGACTTTGACTCCTCCATTCCCTGTAACACTGCAGTTTCTCATCCCGCATTACGGACTGCCCTATGCCCTATGGGTGTTTTTTGTACCAACCCATGTCTATACCCAATGTATACCTAATGTGGGCTTTTCCCTTTCTTTTTCTGAGTGTGTGTGTGTGTGTGTGTGTGTGTGTGTGTGTGTGAGAGAGAGAGAGAGAGAGGGAAGGGAAGAGAAGAAAAGGAAACCCTCCTTAGGGTCTTTTAATGCCACATCCCCTTTATTCAGCCCTCAGGATTTGGGACCTGTGTGCATCTGGTGTGTTTTCAGGCTGACCTGGGATCTGAACTGTGATCCAGCACATAGGGCTCTAGCCTTACTGCTGTAGCTGCATCATAGTCGCTAGGGCTACATCTAGGCTTGCTTGGCACTCCCCCACCCCCACCCCTTGTCCTTTGCTCCTAGGAGAGGAACTTACAGTATGCCACATACTGTAAGATTAGGCAGGTATTTGAATTTGCACCAGGAATACAAAGAGGATGAGCAACTAAGTACCAGGAGTTACAACTTGAGTCTTGCTTCATCTGCTAGGAGTCAAAATAGTAAGCTTGGTAGTTTGTTGTCTAAGCTAAGACAAATGGACTTTGTTTCTTAAATGAGACTAGAAAGAATAGGAATTTTGAAGAATAGTGTGTCACTGAGCAACTAATTAGACCTTTGTAGACTTATTTTGCTGTACAATCCACGCCAGTTTTGCACATTAATAGAAATAAAAGAAGATCCTGCAGGTATTTTTCTACCCGCAGACTTCCCTCAGAACCTGTAGGTGAAGTGTAAGGTTTATTTCTCTTATTTCATAGAAATGTTTCTGAAGCATTTACTTTAAAATCTAGATATCTCTGCCATAAAATAGACTTGTAATTATTTAAAGAACATACCTATGGTTTGTTCTCTAAGTAAATAGAGAGATTCAGATTTCAGTGCAGTGTGGAAATTCCATTTTATGCCAGACATCTTCTGTGCCTCAATTGCAAATTTTATACTTATTACCTATGCTAAATTTACATCAAAGGTATAGTACTTCTGTGCTAATTGAAATGCACTTGTTTTGGTTTTAGAATCCCAAATCTTTTCTCTCCTGTTAATTTGTTACTCACAAAAATATTTTAGCCCACATTCTCATCCTACAGAAGACTTGATTCTCCATTGTTGGTTTTCTGATCAAGTATAGGGTAGAGAGACCTTTGTTCAGCTGTATTCTCAGAAGTGCAATTAGACAACAGAATGAAATAAATTGGAGGTCTCCGTGAAGCAGCACTACTGGGATGTAGGAGTGAATATTCCTAGAGGTTGCTTCTCTAATCAGCTGCCCCAGCCTCTCTCCTGCTGAGATGCAGTTTAATCTCCAGGTGTGTCTCTGAGCCCTGTAGCCTTCCCCTCCTAGAGCCCATTGGGTGGAATCCTGTGCTTGTGTTGCTGCAGGGACCACGCCCATAATGATTTCTCTCCTTATCTTAAGTGACTCACATGGGATTGTTTCTGTTTAGTTTTAAATGTTATCTGTTGCTCACAAGCTTTGTTAAACACAGGTTGAATTTCTTCTATGGTTGGTGCTTTGAGCATATTTGTTTTGTTTGTTTGTTTCTTTTTTTTTGGAGAGGTTTTTGCTATAGGGCGCATGTGCTTGCCAGACAGACAGAGACAGAGAGATAGAAAGCAAGAAATCACCCCCGCAGGGGGGATGGCCATGCTGCAATCCCTTCTCCTCCATTCTCCTCTCGGGATCTTGGGCACGCACGCACACACACGCGCCTGGCATGAGTTTAAGCCACTGGGTCTGGGACGCGAACCACTGTCGACCACGTGGGAGTCCAGCGACATAGCCATTATGCTAACTGCTGGTCCCAGGCATATTTGTTTTTTGAATAGCTGCTGACTTTTTGTTGTTGTTCAGAGGAAGTTCTGGAATTTAAGGGGCTTCTGGTTCCCTTTCAAATTTCCATCAGATGATGCAGTTATTCTGTGTTTTCTGTTGTGTGTTTAAATAGTTAAATT